GCACTGCCTCAGCTTCCTTAATAGAAAACGGGCTCACAAAGCTGCTGATTTAACCAGCACTAAATTAAAATTCAATATGAGGATCAGCTGGACAACCTGACACACTTGCTGGAGGGGTTGGCTTGGGAGGGGAGATGGAAGTGGCTTTTTCTCCATTGATTGGAGGGCAGGAGGTGGACACATGAGATTTCCATCCTGGCTTGTTGGGTGCCCCTTTGGCAGCCTGGAGACCTTGCCAGAGCTCAGGGAACCTGTGTTTTCTTCTTAGGTCTGTCATATGGCTTTAGGAAAAGTGGTCAGCTACCTTCTTTCCAGCATTCAAACTGCCTGCCTCATCTTGGAGACCAACTTTGGGACCTTCATCACTTGGGATGCAGGTAACCGTAGGCAGGCTGTGAACTGGGATCACCGCATCCATGTGGGCTTGGCTGGGGTGAGGGCTTGTCCGTGGCCGCTCTCTTGTGCGCGTACCTTGAAAAGACGTATGTGTCCATCCTGATAGCCAGCTGGGGACACCCCTGAAGCAGGCTAGAGGCTGGCAGGGAAACTGGGTGGTGACAGAGCATCCCAGAACCACCCGTGACAGGGGTCCAGCCCCTCATCCCCATCAGCACTTGGTTTCAGACCTGCAGGGACCCAGTCCAGCCATTCCTCAGGCTTTTCGGGGCAGTGTGTCTGGAACAACCTGGTTCCCTCCACCTACCTGCTACGAGAGACAGGAAACTGTGAGTTATCTAATTTTATTTTATTTTACTTCTTTTTTATTTTTGGGGCTCTCAGAAATGTGTTCAGTCTGGATTGAGGTTACAACCTAGGTAATGCCTCCCTACCTAAAAAAAAAGCTGTTACCATAACAACCTGACTCTGCGCTTCATTACCATGGCAATTCTCAGGAATTATTAAATACTGTGTATGTTTGGTGCACGCGCTCCAGTACATCTGGTGCCAGACTCAGGTTGGGATCCTCACTCCCCGCTAATCTGGTTGTCTCTCTCTTCTTGTTTAACTCTTTCATAGTCCTCAGCCAAGACTGCCAGGGCAGGGAGAAGGAGGTAGGTATCATCTGGGACTTGGTTTGGGTTTTTCCCCACTGCAGGCAGGACTGCATGACCAGGGTTGCTGGGTTTTCTCAGATGGGTCAAGCCACCCTTTCATTTCTCCAACTGTAAAATCAGTGATTACAGAGGTAGAGGATTTCTCTTTGCAGGCAGGCTGCTCAGCAGGGGAAATGCTCACACTTGCCTTTCTCTGCTGTTTCCCTGCTGCCTGTCTAGAAATAAGACATTCCAGCTGGAACAGAGCCGCGACAAGTGGGGACCAGCCCAGAGATAGGGAGCTGTTTCCTGAAGGAGAATCATGAAGGTGCAGTGCAGATTGCTCTTGGTGGGGGTAAAGAAGCGGTTCTCCATTAATAGGATCACTTGAGTGATCTATTAGTAGTGCCAAAAATCATGATTGTTTTCAGAGAAGGGATGCAGACTAGGTGGATCAGTGGCTCAGACCAGTGTGGCCACTCCCACGGGTCAGTGCCACAACCTGTGGATTGCGTTGGTATCTTGTGTTCCACTGCTAGGAGATGATTTTAAGTGAGTCTCAATGTCCAGTCCTCACTCTGCCACTGATGTGATGACCCTCCTAAGCATGTCCCTTCTCTCCCTGTTGCTCTGCTGTACTTTATAGCTAGCAGTGTCTCTCAGTCATACTTGTACAGCTCCTGGCACCCCAGTGATGTTCTGGAAGCTAACGTGCTGCAAGTAACAATTAAAAAAAAAAAAAATCAAAATAACATTAAACCAGCCTTGTTCAAAAAAAAAAACCTGCTTAAAAATGTCTTGGGAGCCATTACCCACTTGCGAGTTTAAGCTAAATGAGTACGCGTGAGATTGAAAAAACACAGCTATTTGTGGGGAAAGGCAGCAGAAAGAGCCATTATGGTCTGCTTTCTTTACGCAAGCCCTGGAGTAACCGCCTCATCCTTTGGCTGCAAGACTCATACCCTTGGGGCAGGGCAGCAGGGTTTTCAGGGTCTGAAATGGCAGCTCTTCCCCTGAGCTCCAGAGAGTGTCATGGTGCCCTCGGCACCTTCCCTTCCACCAGGCATGAGCTGCACTGGCACTTTCTCTGTGGGAAAAGGATGGGGCAGGAATCAGGGCAGTTCAAACAGCAGCCAGGACTTCACCTCAAGAGAGCCTTTGGACCCCAGATCTCTAACTCAATGGGTTCCCTTACCATTCCAGCTCTCTGCTGCCTTCCTTCTTGTCTCCCCTTGCCATCTCAGTGCTGGCATTAATCCTGCAGAGATCTCCTTTTCCCCAAATGATTCCTCCTTTCAATGGGGTAATCAGCCTTTTAGTGGGAATCTAACAGGATGGGGATTGTGTGCAAGTGCCTTAAACCCATTGCAAGCAAGACAGAAGCCCAGTAACCCCATGGGGACACACGATGTGATTTGGCAAATGTAGAAAACTGCTTCACTCTGATGACCCTCTTAGAATCACAGAATCAGAGAATGGTTTGGGTTGGGAGGGACCTTTAAAGGTCCTGCAATGAGCGGGGACATCTTCAGCTAGACCAAGCTGCTCAGAGCCCCGTCCAAACTGACCTTGAATGTTTCCAGGGATGGGGCATCTACCAGCTCTCTGGACAACCTGGGCCAGTGTTTCACCACCAGTTTTTCACTCTTCTGTCGGTCCACATGACCTGGTAATGTAGACATAACCCTTATGGTCAGGGAAGAGACACAGCACAACTAGAGGTTGAATAAGCCAATGTAAAGTTGGGCTCTTGCCCCAAGGGGCCATTTGGAAAGTCTTCCCTCTCCTGACTGACTCCTGAGCAAGCTTCATCTGTCTCAGCAGGTGCCCAGCTCTGCTTTCTAGGGCACTACATTGCTCCTCCATCTCATGTATATGTGACCCTACTGTGGTTGACTTTTCTCCTTTCCTCTGGAAGACTCCACAGCACAAAAGGGAAGAAGACCCCCACACCCCACTCCTGCATTGTGTCCTCTATGGATACCTGGTGACTTGGTGGCTATGTGTGATTGCAGAGCCGTATTCCCCCACTGGGCAGCAGGACACCTCCAACACACACGCCAGCTCTCACAGTCCCTGGCAGAGCAAAGCAAGTAGGGACAGCTGAGATAATTTGACCAGCTCCTTCACTGAGAGCATTGCTGCAGGTCAGAATCAAGGTGATTTTGATACTTTTTTTAGCAACTTTTCCTGCGCCTTGCTTGCATTGCTAACACTAGAAAATTTCTTCTGTCATCTCTGAATGCTCCCTCACGCTGGGGCCAAGGCTGGTGGATGAATTGGCAAGAGGGTCCAAACGCCAGCTGAAAGCAGAAGCTGGATGGCAGGTTAGTGGGTACCTCTGGGCTGTCCTCTGATAGCACAGCAATCTGAAGGTGCAGTTATACGTTTAAGTTATACATGCAAGTACACTCCTAAGTGTTTGCAGAGCAGGGGTCATCGTATGCATTGGCATTATCTGCATCTCGCCCTGATGGCGTGACCAGGCTGTGCTCCCACAGTGGAGCAGTTTGCGCTCATATGCAAAGAGATCAATGGCCGTAACACCCCCTTCAGCAGCAGGAACCAAAATCCCCTTCCATGGTGCTCTGTGAAGCCACTTTTACATCTGGCGGTGGAGCAGCAAGCCCTCCGTGCTGAGAACACTGCTCAGGTATGCAGAGCTACAAGATGCTCATAAAAATCAGAGCCCTGCCTGTTCAGCCATTTCACTGGCACCAATGGGATGTTTCAGAGCTTTGAATCCCAAATTCTGGTCCTGCTGCCACGTTGTCTTTGTGCTTTTAAGGCATTACAGACAACAGGTTAGTGAGAGCAACTAGTGACAGTGCTGCACTAGTCCTGCTCTGCATTGGGTTTAGTCCACCAATACCCTGTGGGAACCTTGGGGAAGGTGCTCAGCAAATATTGATTAATTACAAAACATAGTCTAATCTTGTTCCTCCTTCTGGGAAAGGCAGAGAGCTGCTCTTCTGGATTTACATCCAAGTAGATCAGATCATCACCTCCTCCAGTATCCAGGATTGTTTTCCCAACACAGAAGTGGACTCCGCAGGAATACTGTTGGCGCAACAGAAGTCAAATTATTTCCATCACACACCCACAGAAAGAGCTGTAATTCCATCAGAGAACAAAGGTCAGGCGTCCTCCTCCTCTCACATAAGTTAGTTTTGACAGCTCATCAGGATCAGAGGAGCTGGAGATTTTAACTTGGAGGCTGAAATCGTGCTTTGCAAGAGGTGCTCAGTGCATCTTTATGAATCTCTGCTTCAGTACTGTGCAGGTATTTAACACAAGCTCAAAATACATAGTTCCTGATGAATTTATTTGCTAGTGGTAACTGATATTTGCCCGTGAAAAATATATGGTAGTTTCTGCTTTAAATAAATACCTCTAAATAGAGTTCAGTTGGAAGGTGAGATGATTACACCTGGAACTACGATTGAAATACCTGAGCTCCGCACATGTAGAGAAAGAAAATGAAGACAACACCAAATTCTTTTGAAACAGGTTATTTTTTTCCTGAATTTTCACCAGTTTACAAAAAACTACAAAAACCTCAAGGACTGTAACAATATAGCACTTGAAAAAAAGGTTGTTGTGTACAAAAACAAGCACGCTTTTGTTTTGGGGTTGGAGTGGGTTTTTGTATTTACCTGGGTTCTTTCCTTCCTTCAGCATAGTGTGAAAGAAGAAAGTACCAGTTTATTTAACAGGATAGCTCAGAAAAATACAGAAGAACATGCTTTCTCCATTACAAAACTCTACCAGAAAATGCATGCTTGAGGTCCGAAATACAGACAGACTGACACATTTTGCAGCATGCAGACTTTGTTGTACGACCCACACGGCACTTCCCTTCCCCTGCCCCATGCTCAAAGATGTGGTCTGTGCCATGCATTTTGCTTTCCCTTTAGTTGGGGGGGGTCTTTTCTTTTTGTAATGAGTTATTTGCCTTTTTTTTTGCCCTTTTTTTTTTTTTTAGCCCTAAATCCCAGGTAGTGGTATCCAAGGTAACAGCAGAGAAGAGTCCAGATCTGCACATTATCACTGTTTCTGCAAGTTTCATGCAAAAGTTAAGCCATTTCTGCATGCAACATGATGCTGGTCATTCATTGTGCTTCATACAACTCTGGGGAGACTTCCCCATTCACCACGACAGAGTTTGATGACTGGGAAGCACAGGTTTTCTCTCCCATGGACACAGACACATTAGAAGAATCCTCCCCCCGCTTTCCAGTCCCACCCCAGCTGCCCCAAACACATGGGAATGTGCATCTTGGCACCGGGTCCAGACAGTTCACTTGCCTACAAAAGCCCGGTGGCTTCAGTAAAGTCCCATGATTGCTGCTCCCACATCCTTGGAAGGTCTTCGGTCCTTCACCAGAAAGTTAATCATGCTCTCCGACTTGATGAGCAAGTTGCAGCCCAAAAAGAAGATGCCAAACATCACAGTCAAGGAGAGGACACAGAGGACGGCGATCTGCACCACCCGCGTGATGTAGAGGCTCCTCTCGTCAGGTGCCAGGACCGAGGAGCCACCCCCGAGCCGGTGCCGTTGCAGCAGGCCATGAGGATCCCCAAGCCCTGGGTCCTGTTGGGGTAAGCTCCCTGCTCTAGGAGAGTCTGGTTGAAAAACGATCCATTCATGGTCTATGCGTGGTCCCAAATCCCCGGGGAAGGCAAGAGGAAAGCTTGCTGTTACCCTGCCCACCCCTCACACGCCAGGGCTTGGCGCCGCGGGCCGGCGGGCTCCCAGCCACCTCCTGCCTTTCTCCTCGCAACGCCTGGGATGGAGGGACACTTCCTCGAGGCTGCGAGCAGGTGGGAAGCCAATCTGTGCAGCCGAGGGATGGCTCGCTCCAGATCCCTCCTGGCACAGGCGGTGTTAGCGCAAGCCCCCAGGCAAGCAAAAAGAGAGAGAGGGTAAAGGCGAAGGGGGCATGGGGGCGAGGGAGGCAGCCGAAGATGGCCCCATGCCTCCTGCCCTCGCCGCCGCCCCGAAGCGCAGGGCAGCGCAGCCCGTCCCCCCGGGGGCTCTCCCGAGGGAGGGAGAGCCGGTTCCTGCCGCCTGGGAGCTCCACAAATGCAAGTTCCAAGCTGAAGTCTTCACCGTGCTCAAAGAAAAAAAA